GGATGAAGCAGACACGAGCGTTAAGGAATARTTTCAGACTCAGACAACTCTCTAAAAGACCCCTCACAATGACTCCATCAAACAGCAGCCTGGCATCCAAACATCCTACACAGCTCATTCACAGCACAGTCCAGCTCTCCCTGCATTCAGGCACACCAGTTCCACTGTGCTCACTCAAGCTGTAAGATCAAAGCTGTTGTTTCGACTTTCTCACACAGTCAAGYGTACATTTACTAAAATAAATGCCCATCAATTTATTTCCCGAGGGCTGAATCTGACTTCTACTAAAAATCAATAATATTTCACTACTATCAAGTTCTGTTTTTTGGTTTTTTTTTTTCCAATAACAGACACTATCTCATGTTACCACACCTTACAAACTTTTCCATTTACTGTCCCTTGAATATTCCCCCCGCAAAGCAGGGGGAAGAAGGCAGGACCTACAGAAGAAATCACTTCCAGTGCTGAAATACATAAGTGCATTTGTAACTAGAAATGATCCTATTGACTAACATTCAACATCCAAGTATCATAAATTTATTTATTTAGAGCCCACATATCTAGCATTTATTTTAAAATACACCAATTAAGGTTAAAGTTAAAAGCTTTTCTTTACTGAATTTTTATTTGGCACTTGAAAATTAAAACAGAACAGTATAATAAGTAACCTTTCCGTAAATATCCAAAAGAAGGCAATATTATCCTAGCACTCATTACAGCATGTTACTATCTTGCTGGTATTTGAGAGTTAACTGCTAGACTATTTGGATTATAAAAAAGTAAGTATTAACCGCTTTCAATTTGTGACAAATTCTTTCAAGTATTCTGTGCATCAGGGTCATACATATATGTATGTCTGTGTGTGTGTGTTTATTCCTAATGGYCCTCCACATAGTTAGTTTTCTATAACTATTGTTAAAGTCATGAGTAATAATTCTGTTAACTTCAACATTCAGAAAATTAAGTAACCTTCCACTGTTACACAAGACTGATTCAAACATAAATGTTTGAAGTTTTATGTTAGATTACAACTAATTAGCTGTAAATAATTTTATGACAAAGTAACAAAAGCTCACAAACAACTTTCATAGTAATTWCCAAGACAAATCTTTACCATTTTTGTACAAGATTGTTACAATCAAAGTGTAACCTCTCTTTTCGATATATTAAAGAGACAGTATTCTTATASTTCTATCTGATTCATTTCAGCAGAACCAATTGCTCAGGACTAAAAACTGTTGTAAAAGATGCAAGTCCACCCTCCTATAAACTTTATGAAATGTTTATGATGTAAGAATGATGTTACAACACAACTGAGTGCAACTGACTTTTCAGACAACTTTACCTCCACCTTCCAGCTCCAAATCTCATCATTCCATCACAAGAAGTCTTTGTTAGGGACAAGTGAAAACTTTGGTTAGACACATCAACTGACTTTTGGTTTGCCTTTTAAAGCAAACTAGAAACTGCTCACTGGAGTTTTTGAAAAAAATCACTATCAGAGAAACTACTAAAAAGGCTACCTAAGAAACTCATGCCATAACTTCTCCCAAGCATGGGAAAGACCACAGTAGTTGAAGCAGTGAATTTGGCGATGTGTAAGTTTTGCATTAACTAGTGATGAGGTCAGTTCTACTCTTACTCTTTTAACTAATACTACAGTGTAACTTGACCAGTTATTGTTAAGTGTACAGCCTCAATCTTCTCACCAGTGAAGGCACACTGAACCAAAATCATTACTGCTTTCTTGTTCTTGAGCAACTATTTAACACCACTACCTTCTACATAAGAGTTAAGGCTAACCCTGCCSCAAAAGACTGTCATAGGTCTTGTTCAATCAATATTGTGATTTCTGATGAGAAAAAAAATTTAGATTCAAAGCAAAAGCAAAACAAACAAAAAACAAACAAACAACAACAAAAAATAAACAAACCACCCCAATTTTTTTTAAAGCCTTCATAATTCCAATTCCATACATTACCTTGACAATGCTAYTCAATTTAATGAGGTAGATATCATGACTGTCTTAAACGCTTTTTTAAAATAACACACTGCCTCAGAGGACACAATGTAAGAGACAAATTTAAACCAGTTTAGATCTTATTTCATTGACATGATTTCCCACTGTTGCTGGAATGATTTATTGATTTGTCTTTGACTGAAGAGAATCAAAGTCCTCTGCCTCAAGCTGCACTAACAGAGGTGCTCTTAGTCTGCTTTAAAGTATCTGTGAAACAGATTTGGAAATTGAAACTCAGTGGAACAATAAGTTTTATACCTTATATTCATCATCACAGCACATGTAAAACAAATTTTACTTTGTTTTACAAAGCATCGCTTGGAGAAAGCTTGGAAAATTCTCTAACATGCTCTACTGTTTCTAAGAAACTTCTGCTGTTTCTGRTTATCAGCAAGTTTGCTATTTTGGCATCACACTAAAGCCCCAGTGCCTCCATTTCTGACCCCTTCAAACAAAAACAAGCTGCTCAACAATGTCTAATCCGTGCGTCATGTAATCCTGCTTAATACCCTACAAACTCTGGGTAATATTTGGGTAGTTTTTAAATTTAGCAAAGAACATCCTGGCCTAGTTCAAAGATACCCTTGCCTTGGGTAGTGTCCCCTAGAAACATTGCCCACACTTGTTTCAAAGAAGAAAAGCAAGTGCACACATATGCAAAAGAAAAATTAACAAAAACAAGAGATTGTGGTGTAATGTCACAACATAAACATGTAAAATTACAAATCAAATTACTGAAATAGGAATGCATTATGCAAACAACACCAAACACACCATTCAAACAATTAAGAGACATTCTGGCTTCGCAACAGTGCTTATGGCCCCATCTACCAGCACGAGTGCATCTGACTCCCTGCTGGCAGCGAGGGCAGACTGCGCTGCAGAGGACAGCGGCACAGCCAGTGGAACCACGCAAGCCTTCCTGCCATCAGCACTGAGCTATTAATACACACCAGCTTCACTGCCAGAGAAACASAAAATCCCTTCTTTGAGACACTGTTTGCTTTTTGAAGCATTGTTATATTACAAGTGGCTCACACTGCAAACACTACCAAAGAGGTCTAAACCAAGGCCCATTATAATTTTTCAGCACGCTGACCCGACTGTCCTACCTAAGAACTCTCAGACCCTCACTGAAGGACAAATATGTTCCTATTTTGTTTAGGCTGTCAGGCAGACAGTCTCCAATCATTAGCTTCTTGTCAACAGCRATACTGGGGTAGATTACTACTGTGTAGTGCATGTAATGGCAGGTGCATGGCCCTGGGGCTGCCATCTGCCAGGAAGGAAGTGTTCTCCTCTAGGATGCTGAAGAGATTGACAAATAATGTAAACAAAGCACTGAATCATTCCTAATCTATGCAATAAAGCTATTGCATTACTCTTCTGCACAGTAGATGTTACCATCAGAGGTGGGGGCTTAGGTTTGTGGCTTGGGTTGTTTTTTCCTTAACTATTTTTGTGATTGATTTACCAAGATAAAAAAATACACTCTGAAAAAACTTTTATTTAACTGAGATGGGCAATTGTGGATTTGAAAACAAAAAACCTTCTAGCATCAAAGATGTTTCTTTTGAAAGTATCTCCCCACTGTTCACCTCTAACAAGCCTTTTTCCAGAGGGTATTTGCCCTGCACTGCAAGCAAGTACTTCATTTTTTAAAATTACTGGTTTTGATACTCCTATCCACAATTTGGGGTTATCATCGCTGATAAAAAAAAAATAGAGAATGTTCTGAAATATTTTTTAAAGTAAAAACAGTAACAGAACTCCAAGTAAATCAATTTCTAAAGGATTTCTCATTATCCAATTGAAAATCTTCCCTAAACAGTCCTAGTTCAGYAGCCAATTTGTCACCTGAGCTACCAAGCAATAGCACAGCTCCATGGAAATAAGCAGGCACTTACCTATTCTTCAGGAAAGTTACTCATTACTGTTTAACTGGCAACACAGAGATGACAAACTGCTGCTGTCTTTGAGAGAGCCTCAAATGTTACTAGATGTGTTAGCCCCTTAACACTCCACAAGTGTTACACAAGGTGTGCTTTTAGGTGACCCTCTGTAAAGAAGTAAGCAATCTAGGAATTGATTTTTCTGTGGTTTGCATCAGGCTTGTAATGCCTCAGTCTTAACAGCTTGTGTTAACTACAAACACAGCCCTGCAACTGAGGGATTCGTTCTACCTGTACTGGTTTGGAAACTGCAAATACAATCTAAACCAGTAATCCTGGTTTCCTCCCAAACTGACCGAGATGCAAGGGAAAATGCATGCTACTTTGTAACTTTATAAAAGACAATGGGACAAGTCACCTTTGCTGGTTCTGTTTACTGCTGCTGGCTCCCCAGAGCCCTGGCAGACTGACTAATCCAAGAAGCCCACATGCTGGATAGCTAAAGGCAGTTGACACAAGCACAAGTGTAAAAGAAAACCCCAAACAACAACAAAAACAAACAAACAAACAAGTTTTCMTTTGAAAACTCAGCTGCAGGAGAGCCAGCTTTTTCAACAACCAGCAGCAAGGGCACTATTGAGCTGAACTTGGCTTTTCAAAGCTGCCACTCCTGACCCCCTACACATAWACGCACAAAACTTTAAAAATAACTACATGCCAGACAACAGACACACAAAGAAAACATATGTGAACTTTGAAGGTCACTACAACACCATCTACTAAAGACTCAAGAAATAATACTGATTTCCATGCACCCACAGCTCACTTCTAAGCAAACACTGTAATAATCTACAAAAAACCTAGAGAGTTGTGAAACTCTCATAACTACACATCCTAATTTATCAAATCAGTCAACATATTCACTGTAAACTGCTATTACACATAGCGCATCAACTTAATACTGAAATCTCCACAGAATTTGCTATATCATGTCTAACACAATGAACACAGACACAAAGAAAAAAACATATGGACAACCAGTACAAAAAGTAGATTTCAACATATTCAGAAGAAAAAAGCCACAGATATAGCCTTTTTTTAGAAGTTTATTTCTTTAAACAGAAACATACTAATGGTGCTCTTAGAGAAAAACTGATATAGTCAGAAAATACCTGTAACTATACAGCATGTAACTATGCTGCCATTTAACTTCAGAACAGGGAGAGAAGTTAGATCACATACAGTAACTGGCTAACTTTTTCAGTGCATGCTTGCTGTGTTTCAGCTTAGAAACCACTTTGGCATTCCAGTGTAATTAATGCTATTTAAAGATAAATCAAGTGTAAAGAAACCCATGTTAGTCTCTCGTTTAAAAAAAAAAAAAAAAAACAACCCCACCATATGAAACATATCTTAATACTCTTTCTGTTCAAACACTCCTTTATTCTTTTTACTTACAAACGAACGTTAGTCTCTGTAGCTATCTTGAAAGAAATCAAGTAATCAGAAGCAATCATCAACCTAAGCATTTCCTCTGCCTTAAGCAATGACTGTACTGGTTCATTTTAGAACAAACCCACCATTCAACTTGGTCTACAACAATTTATCTTAAATTACTCAAAGTAAYTATGACATTCTTTCTATGAGCAGTACAGATAAACATAATTTAAAGTATAAAGCAAAAAAAATGTCTAATAGATGTCAAGATAGTCTATCTGCTTGCAACAAGCTGACACCCATATAATCAACWTTACTTAAAATATCAAAGGCTTCATTTAACCCCAGATAAATTCAGTTYACATTTTGTGTTTCACGAGTAGCACTGCTAGGCTCAGATCTAACCATTTTGGTCACCCATAAAGTGCCATCTGGAAAGAYAGTAGGTGAATTCCAAGGTGTTTAAAAGAAAGACTTAGAAGTAAAAATTTGAGGTTAAGTTAAAAACTCAAGCACAGAAGTTGTTAAAAGCAGCTCAGTTCTTTCTGTATGTTTGATGTTCTTACAGAACTTAATCGTWAGAGAAACTACTACACTGCATTTATTCAAAAAACATTTGAAAAGATGCATTGATTTCTAACCCAGCACATTTTAATACTTTTAAGAAGCCATTTTAAAATGAGCATTAATGTTTTTTTAAGAGACAAACAAACTCCATGTCACTTGAAGAACCAAAACTTTTTGGCAGCTGGCACATGGAGAGGAGGTAAAAGAACAACTTAATAATATAATTCATTGAACAAAGCAAACTCAAAGAAAAAGGAAACAAAGTTTATGTCTTCAATATCTAAAACACCATTAGAAAGACAGAAGAAGAGATTTCTTAAGATAGGCTTTTTATTGTCTAGTTGCAATCATAAAACCCTCACAAAACTAAAAGCTGATTGACAAGGTGAGTGCAGGGGGATGATCATTATTTTCAAAAATCACCTTATTACCATCTTAAGTAGATGCATTATAGATGATGACTTCTTCAAACAAATCAAGGCAAAAGAAACTAACACAGGAAGWAAAGAACCCTCAAGATTTTTACATTATTACACACAGTAACTGTTAAATTTTAGAAAACTAGACCAACTAGTAGARACATTTACAAGTTAAAACTACAGAGCACTCTGTGAATGGAAAGCAAAGATTACCCACTCAAGTCTGGTGACATCTCCATAAATAATAAAATTCATACACAGGTCATATGTTTATAAGCAAAAAAAGCAGTCATAATTTTAGAGCAAAGGCTAATTATTAGCAAGTAACAAGGTTAACCCACCAATAACAGTATTATTTTATTTACAGATCAGATGAAGGCAATTGTTTCTCCAGTTCCTAAATATTTGCACATTTTCAGAACACAGAAAAACTAAATGAAGCAGTAATTTCAAGCAACCTGTTAACTGTTTTGACAGCAGTTGAGGATGCACTCCTTGCTCTTGCCATCACAGGATAATATGGACAGAGATTTCCAAAAGCACAGCACTCCCTACAGCAGAGGCAAGTTACTGACTGCAGAAAAACACACCACATGTGAAAGCCAGCCACCTTTAAATGATACAAATAATTTCCCTTAAAACACTTATCCACATGAAAATACAGCTACTGCTACAGACCTGAAGGAGTAACTCAAACTGTTTTTTTACACGTATTTTGCACAAATCAAAATCTTTAAGGAAGAACTTAATATATGTTTTTTTAACATGCATTTTGTACAAATCAAAGTAGTATTTAACTGCAAAGGTTATTACAAGGAGTTTGCCTGTAACAGTCTCCTGTTCTAAATATTCAATAGAAGTGGATTCTTCATAATTTTAAAATTACTAGGAACCACTCTTGTTTTCTGAAGTAAAACTTCTCACTTTTCTAATGTAGTTAAAAACAAAGTACKAAAAAAGTGCAAACTAAACAAACAATGCTGATTATATATGCTCTCTATTTTCCAAATAATTAATTTTTACTGAATTAGGTTTTTTCAAATGTACATGATTTACTACTGTCAAAATAATCTTTCCTATGTGCAAAATACAGTTTTCTTTAAACAGAACACATTTCTCAGTAAAACAATAAATTCTTAGTAGTCTCCCAAATCACAATGTTTGAAACTCAAAATACATTAGCAAAATGCTGGGTGACCTTTTTAAGCAGGGGCAGAAGTCCTTCCATAAACAAACATCAGTGTAAAATCCCAATGAAAACCAAAAAGGAAACTAGGAAATTACAGAAGTTTATACTTTGGCTAAACTTACACCAACAAAGTCCTTCGTGATGTATATCTCCTTCCCCATGCTGTTACTTTCCCAGTTTGGCTGCCACAAGGGCAATTAACCTGATGCCCTGTTTTTGGTACCCAACCCACTGGCTGAGGATGCTGGCGGTGTGAGGTTCTTCCTTACTACCTTGACCTGACTCTGGTTCCATCCATCCATCCCTGCATCCCGTACCTCTGAGTGCACCCTACAGGCTGGCACCCTTGTCAGGGAAGCGAGGTGCTGGAGTTGACAGCCCACCTCCTACAGATAGGGTCAATCCCAACGAGCCTCCCCGCACCACTCCTCCATGTGATCTGCGTTTAGAAGCTTACGGGAAAGAGGAAAAACAAACACACATGCAGATTAAATATTAAAATAAGGCAAGCCTATAACCGTCCTTGGACAAACACACGCGGCAGCAGCACTGAGCCCTGTCCGCTGTAAGCCCGTAGCACATTAACACGGCTGCGTTCAGCGCATTATCCTTTTGTTTACCGGATGGGAAGGACGGCGGTCGTTTCCCTCTCCTTATCTGACCGCCCGCCGCTCCCATTCCCGCGTGCCGCCTGCTGCCGGCCGCGCTCCCGCGCCGGGTTTTCCCGGTAACCGGCGCCCGCCCCCACCCGCTTTAGGGTCAGCAGTTTGGGGAATGCTGTGGAAAGAGCTCTTTCCCAACACCGGGCTTCACTGGCAACTGGGGCTGGAGGTGGCTCAAGACATGCTCCTGGTTTCTGTGAAAAATCCGTTTGCAAAGCAAAGGGGCGTGATCGTCTGCCGGCGCCCGAGACCACCATCCTAGGCCGGGCAAGGAGAGCGGGGGCTGCAGCATCCGCACCGGGCTCGGGGAAGCCACAAGGATCCTRAAAGCGATCCCAGCAAAACTAAAAGCAAGACACAAATAAGGCTCTGCCCTCAACCCTTCCAGTCATTCAGAATAAGCCTTCATCTTTTCAAACTCTGACACTGCATTCAACAATCCTCTCGTCTTAATTAGGTTCAAAGCTTGCTCTGCAAACGGTGGATCTTTCATCTTTTCCATCTTCCTGTACTTCCTATCAAAAGAGAAAATATTTTCTTCTTCAAAATCAACTAGCTACTAAAGAAACACAAGMAAAGAAAACTGTAAGTAGTTCTCAGAAGCTGCTGCTGCTCACTTGTTATCGATGCCTCTATCAGCACAGTGAATAGAGAACCAATACTATTCCCCTCCAAGCAACTACTTTTTCATGGTTTGTCATTTCACCTGCTAGACCCATAAACACATATTACAGCTATATATGCATAAGGGTTTGAACTACCATGTCTTGCATAAATTCAAGAGCCAAGAGAATCCTTAGAGTGTCTCATTATTTTCCTCATCTCACCTTTCCTCTCTGACACACTGGCTGCTCTGTGCCCTCCTCAACCAGCCCCCAGTTGTGTACAAACCCTCACTCACTGAGAGGAGGTGGATTACTGTTTTGTCGAAGAAAGGATGGTATTTGTTTCTTTTTTTTTTTCCCCCAGCATGACCAGCACCTAATTAAAGGAACAGCTACACACCAAAAATCTAAATTATCTCTCACTGTAAGTTTCACATTTCTTCAGTTTGATACCCAGCATTTGCAATCCGTGAGCCATCAGCTGAACACTGTCACACACTACCCCAAGTTGAGCCCTTAAGTGATGCAACACACAACAGCTCGAGCATATAGTGACTGATGGAAAGAATTACCTTTCTTTTAATTCATATTCCATGCTCATAATGGTTTACTGTTAAACTTCTGCAAGAGACAAGGTATTTTAAAACCATGATAATAAATTTATCCTTCTCATTTTTRTATTATAAACCTACTCAGCTAGAGAGGCAAAGATTGTTTTTGTAATCTCTCCTCAGTCGAACAATCCTGTTTTTAACTCAATCATTTTACGTTTTTAAATAGTACTTAGAAATTACATTAACAAACTATTTTGGTCACATTTTCCAAACGATTTCCAAAATCTTACATAAGAAAACTCTGAATACTGCCCATAACTGTGTAAACAGCAGCTTCTAGTGGGGTACCCAGAARTGTATACTCTTAATAACAGCACAGTAGTATTGAAACACTAAGAAATATTACAAAATTAAACATTTTTCTTCAGAGCCACCAAGTTCCTCCAAGACTGCTTATTACAGGATGCTAAAAAGGGATAAAAATGATCTTTAAGGAAGTGAAGAGGGACAGTGCTCTGTCACAAAACCCTGTGATGGTAAACACAAAGCATAAACACACATAGCAGGCACTGTCAGATGAAGCTACTCACCTTTCACAGCACTTGCTTCTTTSAGGTTGTGAGACAGAAAGTCTATACTGGCATAGGCGTTCATCTCTACTCCATTGATGCCCCCGTTCAGGAGGTGCCTGGCTTTCAACCTGGATTTGTCACAGTTTGCCAGGGACCCGTCCACCACATCAATGGCAATGTAGTTGAGGCCGTTCTGGAAGCCAGCCGAGGTCTCCCGGCACATGGGACTGCTACCCTGCTCCTCCTCCAGGCCTTCGCTTTTCCTGAGGGACACGTTCTCCACCGAGGCCGAGTTGTGTCGTTTAGGGTTGTGTGCGAAGGAGGGGGACACTGGGGTCACAGTGGTGGTGGAGGAGAAAGTTTCTGAGCTGTGCCTCCTCCGCCCCTGGGGATCTGCCCGGATGACTTTGGCCCCCCGGTTTGGGTCTGGAGGAGGGCTGGAGAGAATGAAAGCCTCCACCCCAGAGAGGGTGAGCCTCTTCACCCCAGATGTGGGGCTGGTGACCCGGGCACTTTCTGGTTTCTGAAYGATGGGTTGAGGTGGGGTAGTGGCCATGCCAAAGGTCATCTCGGTGTAATCACCACCATCCGATGGGCTGGATGAACAAGCCACCCCCACAGCCGCCTTCAGATAGCGCCCGTTGGGCTGGCTGGTGCTGGAGGAAGAACTTGGAGAGAGAGCTTCCAAGGAGCCCACCGAGACCGTGCCCGACTGGGAGGGCGACTGTGACCCGAAGTCAATGTTCATGTAGTCAGAGAGAGGGGAGCGCCTCTGCCCTGTGCCTGAGCCCAGGGAGGAGGCCGGGCTGTCAGCAGGCAGCGAGGGGGGAGAATAGACGGCAGCATCCCCGAAGTCAATGTTGATGTATTCACCAGGGCTCTTGGGCTCAGGCGGCAGAGGGTGCTCGTTCATGCTGGGCAGCATCGTCCGCAAGGTCTCCAAGGAGAGGCGGCTGGGCCGGGCCACCCGCTGGCAGCGCTGGCTCAGGAAGCTCTCGGTCCGGCTGTGCCGCAGGGGCGAAGGCACCGTGTGGCTGGAGGGGGCAAAGGTGCCTGCAGACAACTGGCCCACTCCACACACCGCCTCCTCTGGGATCATCCTCCCCGGGGAGTTCATGAAGACATACTGGTCGCTGTCCTTTGCCAAGCCCTGGCTCTTGTAGGAGCGGGGTAAGGAGCTGTATGAATAGCAGCTGGGCTTTGGGGGCTCATTGGACCCATGCCCTGAAGGGGCGAAAAAGAAGTCTGGGGGGGTGAGGGAGGGAGCTTGGGACCCGTTCTGGGGGTCCCGAGGRGACATATTGATATAGTCACCGTTACTCAGCCTTCCATCTGAGCTCTCCACAGACAGCTTGGAGCCGCACCACATCCGCATGTACCCGCTRTCGTCAGGGGAGCTCTCCCCAGGCGAGCTGGTCTTGTAGCTGCTCCCGTTCCCCGGGGACCCGCTACCCACCCCTGCCCGAGGCTGCAGGATCTGCTTGGGGGCAGACACGCTGGTGGGGCTCATGGGCATGTAATCATCGCTGCCCCGGCTTCCCTGCCCTAAGGCGACGGCCACACCGGGGGTCATTGGCATGTAGCCGTCATCATCTCCCCCTCCTCCACCCCCTGCCGGCGGGCCCAGATTGGTGCTRCTGCTGCCGGAGCTGCGGTGAGAACCGATCTCGATGTCCCCGTAGTCCTCGGGGTAGGGGGTGTAGGTCACTTTGGGGGAAGCCCCGGCTTGGCAGGAGGGGAAGAGGCGGCCGGCGCTGCCGGAGAAAGTGGCACGCATCAGCGTGTACTCGTCGAGGGAGGCGGAGGAGACCTGCGGCGCGGCGGGTCGCTGCCGGCACGGCGTGGTCAAGGAGTAGGTCCGCTTCCGATGGCACCTGTCGCCGGCAGCGTCGGGGCAGGGCCGGTAGCAGAGGCGGCCGCTCGGTGGCCGCTCCATCGCCATGTAGCCGTAGAGGTCGGTGCCGCCCCCCGGGTCCCGCACTGGGGGGGTCTCGGCCACCGACTCGGGGGTGTTGCTGCGGTTGCTGGCAGTGGAGGAGGAGGAGAAGGGCCGGAGGTCGCCACCCGGGCTGGAGCCGTACTCGTCGAAGGACATAAAGCCGGCGTCGCTGGGGGAGCCGGACACGGAGGCGCTGCCGCTGGACGGGCGCTGCGGGTGATGGGGGTGGGCAGGCTCGGAGCCGAGGCCGCTACTGGAGGAAAGGCTGATGGGGCTGGTGGCGGAGGGGGGCGAGTGGGAGGCGGGCATGGACATGGAACGGCTGCTCTGCAGCCCGCCGCCGCCGGCCAGCACCGGGAGCAGCTTCCCCGCCTGCCGCCCGCCGCCGCCGCTGAGCGTGTGCGAGCGGCTCAAGGGGGTCCGCACGGGGCCCGGGCTCATGGGGCTGCCGGCCGCAGAGCCCACCCGGCAGCCGTCGCCCTCGCTGGCCGTTCTCACCCGGCACGGCGTGCACTTGGTGCCGGCGCCGGCGGCGAGGCTGTCGGTGCGGGAACGGCGGAGGAGGCCGGTCTGGCTGGGAGGCAGGTTGACCAGATGGTGGTGCCTGCGACCGGGCACGGTGATGGGGTGGGTGGCGGAGACGCCGCTGCCGCCGAGCCCGCCGGCCCCCCCGGAGGACGAGGAGGAGGAGGACTGGCTCTTGCTGCGRGGCCGGAACTCGGACAGCTCCTTCAGCGCCTTCATGGCCTCCAGGATGGTCTCGTGGATGTTCTGGGCCACCACCGAGTCGTCCGCCTGCATCCAGAGCTCGCCGGGGCCGGTGGCGGCCGAGCGCCCCACCTCGATGAAGAAGAAGCTGTCGGAGTGGCCGCAGCGGCGGATGTTCATCAGCTGCAGCGTGACCGAGGGCAACTCGCAGTTGAGGCGCACAAACCCAATGGTGCGGGCCGAGAGGCACAGCCGGTGGACGCCGGTGAGGTTTTTACTCTGCCCCAAGCCCTTGGGCTTCAGCGTCACCTGCCAGACCTCTCGGTAGGCAGCRGTGGCCGGAGCGATCAGCCCGTAGTTAAGGTCTTCGCCGGCGGCGGCCAGGGAAGCGGCGGCGGCGCCGCAGGAGGCGGAGAAGGGGGAGGCGAGGTGGCGGTGKGGGGACCCCTGGCAGGCCGCCTTGCCCTCGTTGAGCAGATCGGTAAGAGCTCTGTACCAGCCCTCCTGCTCCTGCTCGTTCTCGGCCGCCACAGCGAAGTACTCGTCCTTGGTGTAGAGGGCGATGAGGTACTTGTGCTTGGCGTCAGCCCGCTTGTTGATGTTGAGGCAGGAGTCCAGGGCAATCACCCGCTTGGGCGCCCCGGACTTGTTCCTCCATTTCTTCTCGCTCTCGTAGTACTCCAACCGGGCGCCCCCCGCCTCCTCCCCGCCGCCGCCCGGGCCGCGCAGCACGAAGAAGCGCTTGTGGCCGTGCTTCTGCTTGCGCAGGTACCCGCACTTCCTCACGCCCTGGTTGTTGTTGTTGTTGTTGTTCAGGTTGGGGCCGGGCGGGGAGCTCAGCGGGGGGAGCAGCCCCAGCACAGCGGGGCTCGCCATCCCCAGCCCCGCGGCAGGAGCGCCGCCCGGCTCCTCTCGCTGCTGTCGCCGACGATGAGCGGATCCGGGGCCCGAGCGCCGCGGCGAGAAAAAGGAAAAAAAATAATAAGGAAGGATGGAGGGAAGCGGCTAAAAGAAAGTTATTCCTTCGCAGAAGAGCACGGCTGCTCGGAGCCGCAGCGGGATCCTCCGCTGTCACCTCTAGGCAGCGGGTGCTGCCGGCGGCCGCTCGGCGTCCTCCCCTGCTGGAATACCGGCGACGCCGCTAAGGCTCCCCGACCGCCGCTGGTGCTGCCGGCGCCGGCGGGAGTTTCGCCGTAAGTAACACATCGCGCACCGAGTGCCCCAACTAAAGAGCAAAACAACACGTGACCGCCGCCTCACCGAGGCGCTCACACACCGAGACGGGGCGGGGCGCCGCCGCCGCCGGCACCGCCCCGCATTGGCCGCCGGGCCGCGCGAAGGACGGCCGCGGCCCTCAATGGGCGGCGGGGCGGGCTCTCGGCGGCGAGGCGGCGCGACGCCGTTGGACGGCGGGAGCCTCGCCCCCCACCCCCTTCCCGCCCCTCCGCGTTCCCGCCCACAGCCTCCGGCCCCCCTCGGGCTTAGCGGAACCCGCCCCTGCCGCCGCTGCCCACCGCGCACGCAGCTCAGAAGGTGCGGGGGACACGGGCACGGCGGGGAGTGCCCGCACATCCGGCGGGCCCCGGTGCCGCGGTTCGCCGTCTCTCGGGACGCRGCGGGGCGCCGAGGCCATGTCAGGTGCTGCGGACCCGCCGGGCGGAGCTTCCGGGCGAGCGTGAGCGGCGGGCGCCCCCCGCGCGCCCCCGCACACACGCGCGTGTGCGTCAGCCGTGCCCGCACAG